CCACAAGGAATAAGATTGGCTTTGGAACATGTGTGAACACATTGGTTCCCCGTTTTTTTGCTTCAGTTTCTTGCAATTTTCTATTCCAGAATACTCTTGCACGTGAATTTTAGAAACCAACCCGCTCGACTGCGATTCTTTGTCAACGCCGCCAGGTCTTCCGGCACCTGCGGTGCATCAGTTGGAGTTCCATCCCGCCTGGCCCCGCGTCCCGTTGGAGACGGCGGCTCCGGCACGAGCTGTGGGCACGGTGCTGCAAGCCTATGGCTGCCTGGGAGGCCGGGGAGAGAGAGAGAGAGAGGGTGAGTGGGTGGGTGGAGAGTGTGGACCTTCATCAACCTTCATGGACCTTCAGATCATAATTCCATATGATTCCCAAGTTCAAAAGGCACCTAAAGTGGATGGACCCAATGTTTCAGATTTTTTCCCATGTGACTTTTCCATGTGCCCAATAATGAGCCTCCTGGTGCTATGTTCCCAAGTTCCGCTTGGAAACACCGGTGACCTGGAGGTGCCCACACCGGTGCGATGCTGCAGCTGGAGCTGGTGCAGATCGCCCAGCACCACGCGGCGTCACCGGCGCAGGTGCTCTATCGGTGCCTTGGGAGGATCCGGTTTTGGTTGGAGAGCAGCAGACCAGAGAGGAGCAGGATGGTGTAGCGTACGGTAGTTGGATTTTTGATTGAAGTCCCTGATAAATTGAGGTTTTTTCCGCACTTTGCCCTTCATCTTCGGCATATCATCAAGGGTTTTGGACCCTCGGACCTGTCGATCCAGGTAGATGAAAAAGTGGACCTGTCGAACCTGATCTAAACACCCGTTTGGTTCTTTGAATCACCTGATCTTCGCTCGCAATTGCAGAGCATCTTGCAAATTTAGATCGCATCATTGGAGAGAAGCGATGACCGAGAATACTCGATGCTCAGCACTTGCTGCGTCGGCCGATGTTTGGAAAAAAACGGTGGAGATTTTTTGATGGAACTTGAGATCTTCAACCCCTCATGGAACTTGGTCGCTCCCCAACTCAAGACGGATTTGTCAGAGACCTCTCAGATCTCATGAAAAAATCTCTTCGCTTGAAGTCTCATTAGCGGGATGTTTCAAAAGCACAAGTTTTCAAGGAAAGATACCTGACAGGCAGGGACATGGACGACATGGACACACAAACCCTATCGAATTCCGAAGAGTCCAAGGAGGCCCTATATACGACATGGCATTGCCGGAAATCTTCCAGGTTTTTGTTGAGGTTCCTTAGAAATTGAGAGCATACGGTATTGGTGTGTTTCTCGTGGAACTTGGCAATGTTCACCCCCCAATGTCCAGTCGCCCCCCACATCCATGAGGTCACAAAGCAAACGGTTTGCAAGAGATTCCAAAATGGCTCTGCCATTCACTTATTGAGAAAAACAACAAATTGTTTATTTGTTTTTCAATGTGTTTAATGTGATTTATTGTTTCTTCAAAATGATCTTGATTGCTTGGGCCTTTTTCTCATGAAACCTGAGAGCTCCACATGTGTCGGTTGTTCCACAATTCCACATCTTGCTGGGTGGACATCCAGCAGTTTCGTCGCTTGTTGATCAAAAATGGTGATTGCCATGTCACAACTTTCCTCAAACCGCGCCCTCCACGTCTCCTGGTAAGCTCCAAGGACTGGACGGATAAGGATGACCGTCGTGGTTTTTGGACGCTTTGGAAGACCAGAAGAGTTGGTTGGTTTTTTTTTGGGAAAAGTCGTTGAAAAACTTGAAGATTTATCAACGTTTTTCTTCATTAGGTTGTTTTTGGGGGGGGGGCACTTGATTGATCTTGATTGCTTTGTTTTCTTTCCTCATGAATCAGAGGGTTCTATACATGTGTCGGTTCTTCCATATCTTCCACATCTGGCTGGTGCAATTGATTGATTGATGGTTGTTCATGGTTGTTGCCAAGCGCCCAGTCTTTGCATCCGTCTGCCAGGGCACTCCACACCATCACTCCCCAAGTCCGTCTTCAAGCGATCGATCCGCGCACTCGGACGGGAGCGCACGGTGATTTTCCCCTTCATGATTGGTTCATGACATCATTTGGTAGCCAAGTCAAGCAAACATCAATTGATCATGTTTAGGCTAAACTGATAAACCATGATCATTGGTCAAGCCAGGCCACGAAAAAAGCAAGCCCTGCCCACATTGATGTTGGATGCTCCAACCAAACTTGCCTTGCGGCGCTCAGGATCTACACCTTCACGGGCCCTTTAACCTGCCTTGCTGATGAATCCCTTTCGAAGCCGCGCCGTGCACCGAAAATGGCCCTTTGAGCTGCACCGATGGTCGGGGAGAACGTCGTGGACGCGGGTCCCGGTGTGCCCTGACAGCTCGGATCGGCACGTATTGTCCCTGGTGGAAGAGTTCCTGGGTTTGGTTCGAACTTCCCTTCGAAGGCAGAGCATGGCAGATATGGCAGACACCTTCACCACTCGACCGGAGCCTGTGACACGGTCGTTGGCGGTTTGGGCTGATCGGACGGTTGTAGGGGGATGATGTTTGTCTAGACAGGGGATCTTGAACTCCGAGATCGTTCGATTCGTTCAAGACGGACTCGTGATATCTTGTGACCTTTTCTGGCTCCAGCGCTTCTCGAAACTACTTGGACTGCCATTTCGTTTTGCCTGTGCTCCGTCAAGATGGAGTGGTTCTGGGCCTGTTCTGTGGTCGTCTCCGGCCTAGCTTTGCTTCTCTGTAGCCTTTGCATTTTGGGTCCTTTTTGGATATGGCTGAAAGTGATGTTGGAAGATTGGCACAAACCAGCAGCATACACGCTCTGTGCTGGTGGTGGGATGCCTCGGTCCTCTGACGAATCACCAGAAGAAGTCGAAGGCTTGCTCCTCACATGCAATTTGTCTGGCAATGAAGAGGAAGATCACGTCCTTCCTGCACCATGGGTTATTGTTGAGGAGGACAAGGATCCAGAACATCAGGAACAGGCGTCGAGATTGATCAAGACATGGGGTGTTTGTTTCGGCACATGTGTTCTTTGTGCTTGCTTCAGAGACCATGTCACACGTTGGGAAGACACCTCCCCCAAAACGATGTGATGTCAGACCTGATCAAAGTCAACCAAGCCTGCGTATGCCCTGCAGGTGACAAGAGAGCAACAGGAACACCTCAGAGAGCTCATCCGTCAGCGCATGAAATGGGAGGGCCGCCAAATGGTGGTGCTTCCCTTGGTGCCTTTGATCGCGGCGCCATGGACCACCTGCACAGGTGGCATCCCCACCTGGGCGTATGCCCTTTACGTGCCTTTCCTCTTGAAGGGCAAAATATTAGAATCTTGCACAAGTTAATAGGCCGTTTGGGAAACAGCTTGTGTTGGCAAACGTTCAATCTGTTTGCATGGAACATCACGTTTCACCTGTTCATCGACTTAGCACAGAAAAACCTCTTGAAAGCCAAAGTACTGGAATCTTGCACAAATTGTTATCAGCCGGTTGGGAGCCGCTTGTGTTGTTGCAACTGTTCAACCTGTTTGTATGGATTATTACGTTTCACCTTTTCATCAACTTTACACAGAAATCTTATGGTAAAAACTGAAAACGTATGAAAACCATGCGTTCCCTTTTACTGCTGACCAAGGAAGCAATGCTGATGCGGAGATTGAAATTCACAGGGTTCACAGAGTCATTGACTTTATTCTGGCCTTGTCCATCAAAAGCATTTAGCGATGTGTTTCTAGGCTTCTGGCTTTGGGGCCCTTTGGAGCACCTCGACCCTTGGCCAACCAGAGCCGGCCTCGTGTCTGGCATATACCTCTTTTGCTAGTTTTTGGCGGTGTCCTCTTATACCGAGATGTGTGGGTTTTGTAGGGAAAGAGAATTGGATTGGTCGGATTTCTTGTTGAGCGCAGTTTTTCACCACGAAGGATATCTTCACCGATGGGGCCATGCCCTGGCAGGCCGCGGCCTGCGACCCCGAGGCGACCAACCACTTCGTCGCCGCCTTTGAAGGTGCCGGGCCCTCCCAGCTCTTTCAGCCGCTGGCGCAGTGGCTGGGCCTGTCAGGCCTCTTGGCCTTGACTTTCCTTTTCGCCACGGCCCTCCAGCAGGTGGGCTTCATCGCGCCGACACACCCGGACAGGGCCGCAGCCCTCGCGGCGGACGTGGCGGGCC